AATGGTGCAGTTTTGCTAAAAGCATTCTGCTGTGCACAGTCATTTCTCTTGTCCTGAATACCAGGTTCAAAGTGGAACTAGGGTAGACCAGAAGCAAGAAAATGGTAGATTCTCTGCAGCACAGAGGCAACACCATCACACTAAGCCTCCTCCCTGGTAGATGGATGTAGAGCTCTGAATTCTACCTAGAGGCTGAAAAATAGTCGCAGAGACTAAAGATGTACAGCGATTTCCCCCTTTCCTTTCCTTTCTAGTGTCTTTGTTTCTCAGCCATAGCACAGAGGTGTAGGTATCTATAAATTACTGCCCATACTGACCACATTATAATGACCAAACAATCCAGGCTTACAAGGAACTTCACCATCAGAAATGCACTTAATTAAACTCAAATATGTGCATTTAGTTTGTATGTCTTACTCTTTTCTTAGTAAGACTCTGAGATTAAAAGACTTGGATCATCTAACTTTCTTTCCTTTTCAATCTACCCATGGCTCAGAAGTAGAAACAATACCCAAAACCCAAAAAATGTGGCTTGGTCCACTGGCTGTATGTGCACGTAGGTGTGTGGTCCCACTTCTTTCATTGAGACCTACAGGTTTGGTTCCTTTTTCTGGTTCAGCTGGATCCTGAGAGCTGCTGTCACCATATAATCTTATTCGCTTGTAGTTACATACTCAATAAAGTGACTACTTAGGTGGTCTCATGCTTTTTCCACAATGCCTGCTTCAATATGACTGGCTTTGCTGACAGGCATGAAGTGTCTTTTGTGTGCTAAGTACCTGTACCTTTTTTCTTTTAAAATCTTTCTTTCTCCATACAAGGTACTAACATAAGGCAGACTTCACCATGTGCTTATGCAGCTACCTACCTCAGCGAATGCTTCTTTAGACACCACAAAACTTTACAACTTGTTTACATTTATTAACTCATTTATCAACAAATATGTTGAAGTGCAAGGAGCCAAGTCCTATCAAAGCTTCATTCCTGCCATAAAAAAAGTTTTTTCTATGGAACAGATGAAATTTTCTTCATTCATGTTACCTAACTCAGGCAGATTACTCAGGAAAAAAGAAAGGAGATGGTTGGTTGAGTTCAGTGCAGAACAGAAGAATGAAATTCTCCTGAAAATATAAAACAAAATCTATGACCTATTAATAATCATCTTTGAGACCTCACAGAGGATGAGGGTGACTCCAGATGACTATGGAAAGGGAAACATTTCACATTTCACACACACGTGTGTGTGTATATATGTATGTGCATATATATATGTATATATAACCATACATATCAATCAACAAAACAGAGCCCAGAGAGTTACAGAATTAATTTTGATATCCACAAAGATACCAAACAAATTATTAAGCTATCCTTTTATAAGCACCTTGGAAATAATTAGAATGATAACAGCCACCGTGGATTTGTCAAAAGTAAATCATGTCAAACTAATGTAATTTCCTTCTTTTACAGGGTAACTGGCTTAGGGGAAAAAGGAAAGGAGAACATGGAGCATATTTTGACCTCTGTTAAAACTGTTACGTAGTTCTAGCTGACACTGTCTCAACTTAAAGAGGAAAACATCAGTGCAGATAAAATCATTGTAATGAGGAATGGGAGTACAAATCCAATTAGAAAAATCCATTTTCAAAAAGTAGTTATCAAACAGGGAAATATTTTGAGATATGTATCACAAAGATATGATGGGTCCACAGTCAGTATTTTCATTAATACGCGTGTGGTCAAATAACAAACACACATAAAATTTTGCACATATCACAGAAAGAAGGGAGCAGACACTGACTGGTGGAAGCAATGGTCAGAAATCAACATGATGAAATACTCCAAAACCAATTGCAAAAATTATAGAATCATAGAATCATTTAGGTTGGAAAAGACCTTTAAGATCATCCAGTCCAACCATTAACGTAACATTACCAAGTCCACCACTAAACCAGCTAGGGGTAGAGTAGCAATTTCATGTTTCCTGGCTTGGTGGCTGGAGTATTTGTTAATGAAAGTAAAAACTAGGAATCATTAAGATTGGAAAGGACCTCTAAGATCCTCAGTCCAGTCATCAACCCAACACCACCATGCCCACTAAACCATGTCCCAGGGTGCCACGTCTACCCGTTTTTTGAACACTTCCAGGGATGGTGACTCCACCACCTCTCTGGGCAGCCTGTTCCAATGCTTGACTGCCCTTTCTGTGAAGAAATTTTTCCTAATATCCAATCTAAACCTTCCCTGGCGCAGCTTGAGCCCATTTCCTCTTGTCCTATTGCTAGCTACTTGGGAGAAGAGCCCAACACCCACCTCACTACAACCTCCTTTCAGGTAGTTGTAGAGAGCGATAAGGTCTCCCCTCAGCCCCCTCTTCTCCAGACTAAAACTACTCCTAAGACTAAAAATTGCTCCTAGGAAAAACACAACAACAAAGGTGCAAAACCAAATTGGAGAATAACTTTCAAACACTGAAGGAAAGGCTTGGGGAATTCTGTGGAATTAAAACAAGAGTGCAATGTTGCTGCAAACGAAGAAAGACTAATTTTAGGTTGTATTCAGAACTGGAAAAGAGAAGACATGGAGGCAAGTATTTTGATAAACTTGGCACTGGTGGAGCCTCTGAAAGAATATGGTGTCTAATTTTGGATGTTACATGCATATTTACACGCCCACTAAAAATGAATTTGAAGAGGGGCAAAGATGACTCATAAACTGCTTAGAAAATGTAACCAATGAAGCAAGATTGAAAGAATTGGGGGTTTCTCTGGAAAAGATAAAACTAAAAGTACAACAAAATGTCTTCAGAGTCGTGCTATAGACTGAAGAGTTGTCTTCAAAGAGACCTAGAGAAGGAGCAAAAAAGAGGAAAGACAAGGATCAACAAACTTAAAAGACACAGCCACACAATTCTCTAATTCTTTCTCTCAGCTCTCCTCCACACCTGGAGTACTGTGTCCAGTTCTGAGCTCCTCGGTACAAGAGAGACATGGACAGACTAGAGAGAGTCCAATGAAGCATCGCAAAGATGATGAAGGGACCAGAGCATCTCTCCTATGAAGAAAGGCTGAGACAGCTGTGATTGCTCAGCCTGGAGAAGAGAAGGTTCAGGGGGATCTTACCAACGTGTATAAATACCTGAAGGGAGAGCGCATAGAGGACAGAGCCAGGCTCTTTTCAGTGATGCCCAGTGATGAGACCAGCAGCAGTGGGCACAAACTGAAACACAGGAGGTTCCCTCTGAACATCAGAAAACACTTTTTTTACTGTGAGGGTGACCAAGCACTGGCACAGATTGCCCAAAAAGATTTGTGGAGTCCCCATCCTTGGAGAATTCAAAAGCCATCTGGACATGGTCCTGGGTGACTGGCTCTAGGTGGCCCTGCTTGAGCAGGGTGGTTGGCCCAGATGACCTCCAGAGGTCCCTTCCAACCTCAACCATTCTGTGACTCTGTGATTCTGTAATGGCAATAATACAAGCTATTGTGGCTGTTTATTCTCCCTCACTGGCGAAAGAAATCAGTGAAACATCAGGATTAGAGCTAGAGATTAGATAAACTTTTGAGATATTGCCCAGTCCCACATCCTATAATTATATAAAAATTATAGAAATTACTCTAGAAATTATGCAAATTCTACTAGAATAATATGGAAGCTATGTGCAAACTATATGTGTGTACACCAAAGGCATTGCTTCAATAGGCGAACTATAAGCTTCTCCTCTGTGGGTTTTTAGCAAAAGACAGAAATAACCTTTCTGCCTGTTAGTCCAGCCTCTTGCAAAAAAAACCCTCATTTCCATTACGGCTGTTCTGATTCTACAAACTGAAAACCATGTTCTGACAAAGCACAAGTAACTGCACCAGTGATTCCACCATTCTCTAGCTTAAGTAAAATTCCTGAGATTTGAGGAAGTTTCCCAGCACAGCCACAAACCCCATGAAAAA